AAACAGAAACTTCAATATTTCCTCTCGAAAATAATATATGAAATATCATTTTTATAAATTAAATTTAGGGTTAGTGATGAGAGAGAGGAGAAGTTACACATTTAAGTTAGGCAGTTAATGCCTCATAGTTGACTGACAAATGGGTGTTGGCTCCTCAAAAGGTTGTCTTGAAGAGTTATGTAGCCCACTCTTGTAAGCAAAAAACTTTTGTAGTTCAAAGAGTGCATGTAATAGTGTTCATTAGTAGTTATAGACATCTCCCCTTGGCTTCTTTTGGACAAAAGTTGGGACAATTAGTGGAAGAACTTCTTCCAAATGGGCTCTCTTTTTGACTTAGGCTTAGGCTGAATTTTAGTCCAACTCTCCCACAAGTCCAACTTCGCCTTGAGTAGGTACAATTGACCTTGCCTCATGACGTGACTCAGTCGTTATATATTAAATCACATAAATATAAAATTTATAAAACTAGAAAATATGAACTTTTAGATATTTAGAAGTATTTCTGAACAAATATATCAATTATAATTCAATAAAAATTTCAAAAATAGCAGTAATTTTTCAGGTCAATCAAAGGGATGTAATATAATATCTGGTAATTATTTATAATTTTCCTCAATGAATACGATTTTCTATGAATTTTATACTAAGAAATGAAAAGAAAATATATTTAAAATTCACAAAAAAGGAAAATAATGGTGTAGACGTTAGGATGATGTCAGCACCCGGCAAATGCAAATCGGGCAAAAATAGAGTTTCGCCCGACAATTCTTATGTAAGCGATTACAAATAATTTAATTGATTAAATTAAGATTTGTAAAAGTCGAAATAATCGTAATAGAATAAAGTATATTTTGGTAAATTAAAATCACAAAAACTATCACTAGATAAAGCGTAAAGTAAGTTGAAAGTAGGAAAACAAAGTTCCGGCGTCACGATGACGATGCATCGACAATGCACTTGAATCCTGAGCGTTTGGAAGGATCATCGTGTAGTGTCCACAGCCTCAAAGGCTCTTCTTGAACAAAGACGACGTGGGCAATCTCTAGATCTTCTCGCAAAGTCTAAAGATTAATGAAATGAGTCGTCAAGTCGTCTCCGGCAATTGTCACCTGGCGGAGCAGAAAAATGGTGACTTTCTGGCTCTCCGGCGATCGTCACCCGACAGAGAGGAGCTAGATGGAGGTAGGGCGCATGTTAGGAAACTTCATCCTCAAGTCCGCATAACAAGAAGAGGTTCATCATCGCATCTGGTACATTCTCAAGAGGTGGCGACTCGTCTCTCGGCGGATCGTCCTCTTCTTGATGACGGCTTGTTCGTCGATCAATCAGAGATGATTTACTCAATGGATTCGCAATTCTTTTATCACGAATCATTCAACAATTTTAGTAACAATACTTCGCGAATCATATTGACGAGATTTTCGCTGATGATCCAGCGATTCTCGTTGCTTAATCCTTCACCAGTGATCTGCAAGAAAGTTGCGATAATCAGATAAAAATATATAAATTTTAACTCTAGGAGGATTCAAACCCATGCTGGTCACCTACTTCTTCTAAGAAAGGTGTGATGCGGGTTTAGTCCCACATCGGTTGTGTGCCAATTTTTCGGATGAATATATACTAATATTAGATTTTTAAGCAAAGTCCCTTCTCTTGCGTGTACGACCACTCCTTGCCCCACAGCCGGCTGGCCACTAATGACGTAGAAGGGGAGTGGCACACACGTGCCCCTATCAGTCCAAGCTGCTCGAGTCCCTACTCACGGCTACTCCCCGACTGAGCTTCCGACCCACTTGTGGGCCTAGCTAGCCAGCGGGTCTCCTATTTTGTAATATTTTTATTTTTATTTCTTATTCTTTATTTATCTCAAAAGTAAGACTGTAAAAATCATATAAAATCACATAATTACCCAAAAATTCACATTAATTAACTAAAAACTACTTTTCACACTTTAACACAAATATAAGTCTATTTATCATGAGTTAAGGCTAAAACTATATTATTTACTAATTATTAACTTATGATAATAAAGACTTATCACCTCATGGTCAAAGTATTAATTTGGTTGACCTTGACCTCATAACAAAGTCAGATTTTAATCATTGTTAATAAAGTCATAATCACATAATATATATAATATATTAATTATTAAAAAATGTGACATATATAAATAAACATTAATATTACATAATAGTTTATTAATAAATATTTATTTTTAATCAACAAAAACTTGCCCAAAAGGAAGGAGGATAGAGAAAGAAAAAGAAGGGAATTACTTTTTTTGTGTGGAGGGAGGTGGGGGATCAAAGAGTTGGCAAAATCGCTCTCTCTCTCTCTCTCTCTCTCTCTCTCTCTCTCTCTCTCTCTCTCTTTATTGACCATTTAATGGGGTGTGTGGGTAACTCTAAACTATTTAATATTTTCCCAAAACCTATGAATTGAGTCTCCCTTTATTTATCCATAATGGTCCCTCATGCCAATATCATAGTGTTAGTTTTAGTGGACCATCCCCTCATAACTCTACACCCTCATGTTTTCACATGTTCTTTATAAGTAATGTCATCTGATGTATAACCTATGTTATATGTCTAGCATGGTAGGAATGATTAGCATGTCATGCATCTTGGTATAATCAACATATTCAAATAGCAATATTATTTTCTTTAGACCAATCAACTATGTGCATAAGCTAGAGTATTAGAGTAAATCCACTTGGAGCCATCCAAGCTACCTTGTTCCTTGGTTGAGCCTAGTTGAAATGTGGTATAGTCATCAAAGTGGCCCACAGTTGACCAAACCTAATCATTGGGCATCTCCAGAGTTAGGTAGAACAAAGTAGGAAATTGAGATATATCCATCTGATAATCTATCAATCTCCATATGAATATGGGGGTTCCCCCTACTTTTCACTTGGCTACAATCATTTTTATTGAAATAATTCAACTCTTATTATTTAATCACAACATATTTTACTTATATTCAACTTAAGCATTACTAAAATAAATACCAGCTTTATTGAAACACCATCTTGAGAGAATGTTTCATTAGATAGATAAATAAAAATAGAGAGAGAGAGAGAGAGAGAGAGAGAGAGAGAGAGAGAGAGAGGAATGTGTTTAGCATTAGACAATGCTTAGAGGATGACTTGGGTAATTTTGCTACCAATTTTGACATTATCAATGAAATTTTGGTTGATTTCATTTAATCTAATCTAATTTAATCTCTTCTCTCTCTCTCTCTCTCTCTCTCTCTCTCTCTCTCTCTCTCTCTCTCTCTCTCTCTCTCTTCTCTCTCTCTCTCTCTCTCTCTCTCTCTCTTATATTATTTTGTTGTGGTGTAGTCTAGCCACTTTGAGACTTAGGCATTTTTTAATATTATCTGGTTAAGATGCTATATTTATTAGAAACAAGCTTGTTGACAACTCCAACAAGAGAGTTTTTATAATGGTACAAAAGGAAAGGAAAAAATAAAGGGGCTCATCAATTACTTTAGGATATAAAATTTGGGAAAACGGCGTTGAGATGGCCTGTTATTATTCATGAAAAAGAGTCACTACCCACCAAAAGAATATTCTGTTTTAGAATTTTTATCATTCATATGAATGCAAACTAGGCATCATATGTTGTAACATCGAGATTGAATTTTGGTTTACACAATAAATGATGAGAAATATGAGATTTTTTTCAGAAAAGGGCAATAGTCATCCCTTTATGTCTATTTTTCACAGTTTTTTATCCACAATATAATCTCATAAAATCAGAATTAACATCGTCTTTAATAATTTTGCAATAACCAGTTGGAGAATAAAAATCCCCCTCCCCCCACCATTCTATAAAGTTTTTTGTCCTTTTTGGGGAGAATTTTTACACACAAGTGCTTTACATAATATCGAGGCTTGATGGTGGCCCAGCTCCTCATTTAGTTACACGCAAGTCTTATTCTTAGTGACCTCTAATAAACAACTAATTAAAAAATAATGGTAAATTATTTCAGGAGTAAAATAATGGAGAGAGATTTTCTGCTCTATTATTGTCTCACCCAACGCGCGCGCCGCGTGCTGACTGGGACCTCTAGAAAGGCCCGTCCCATCTCTGACGTGTTGATACGGGATCTCCCCGTCATCACAAGAACCGAGATATCGCCACGTGTGGACCCCAGATTTGTCTTAAAACACACGAAAGTTGGCGGGTACTGTAAACGGGCCCCGCTGGCCAAAAAGCCCGGTAATTAACAGAAGAAGAACAGAGGATTTCGGGCCCGAGTAACTAAATGAAATCTCTGTCGGACCTGTCCCCGTTGAACTCTGCAATTATTGGGCCGGCCAAGATACCAATTATGATTGGTCGGCATCGACAGCCCATTTAATCATCGTTGCTGTTCTGGCCAATCTACTATTCCAAAGCACATTCCGATGAGGGAGGAGACCTGACAATCCGAGGTGGGGTCCACTCCCCGCCCTAAAAAACGCTGGACGGCTGATCTGATCTGATCAGGGGGTCGGGAGGAAACCCCGCGAGCAAGATGAGCCCTACGGTAGGTTAGAAACCGTCACCAGCGTACCCGCTAATATGGCCGCAAGAAGGAGGTACAGACCCCCGACCCACTACGGGCAGCCACCATCGGTCCACGTGGACCCCAGCAGCTAGAATCCAGTGGCGCGTTTGAGGGGATTCTAGTAGCAGCTAGCTAGCTGGACCGACGGAGACACGTGACGAAATGGGCGAGGGAATGGACTGTATATGCTACCGCGGAGGGTCGGAGGAGGTTTAAGAACTACGCTGACAGAGAGTATGGGGGGGGGGGGGCGTGTGTGGTGGGGCGGGCAGCAGGGAATTTTAAATAATCCAACTCAGCAGAGGGGTTGGCTCTGCTTAAACGAACGGACGAAAGAAGAGACGGAGGAGAAGGATGTGAAAAAGGCGGGGGCTTTTTAATGATGTTGGTGGCTTCATTATAAATTAGCACTACAGTCGAGGAGATGGCGTCGCTGCGGCGGAGGAATGGAGGATGAGACGGTGGCAGCGGCGGGGGGGACGCGGCACCCGGTGTACAGAGGGGTGAGAAAGCGGCGGTGGGGGAGGTGGGTGACGGAGATAAGAGAACCCAGAAAGAAGTCGAGGATTTGGCTCGGTTCCTTCCCCACGCCGGAGATGGCGGCGCGAGCCTACGACGTGGCGGCGCTCTGCTTGAAGGGAAGGAAGGCTCTCCTCAACTTCCCCCACCTCGCCGACGTCCTCCCCCGGCCATCCTCCGCCATGCCGAGGGACATACAGGCGGCGGCGGCGTTGGCCGCCGCCACCGCGGCGGTCGCCGGCGATGGGGCTCTGACGATGTCTCCGTCTTCCTCTTCGGGTGAAATAATGAGCGGGGAAGAGGATATATGGGGGGAGATAGGGGATCTGCCGGAGCTGGAGATAGAAGGACGTTCGGAGATGTCGAGGAGGAACTGGTCTTCCATGTTCTGGGGACACGGCGAGAGCAAGGGCGTATTCATTGACAGCAGCCCGGGAATTGGTGTCTCGAGGATTGCCACGGCGTTGAATGCGCAGGTCTACGGCGAGGAACGGGGTAAATTCAACAACGCTGCCGTCCGTGCGGACGAAATGCAGTGCTGAAGAGTGTTGTCAATCTCTCTCGCTCGCTCGCTCGCTCGCTCTGTCTCTCTCTCTCTCTCTTCGCTCTATGTTTGTTTCACAAACTGAAGGGTGCCAAATTCCTATGGTTTCTCCCGTGTAGAAAATTCCACACCGCTGGTTCTCCATTCTCTGAATCCACTTGCAACGTTGAATAATTTGTATGGATGTGATCAATCACACTAGTTTTACGTGAGATATTAACTGGATACTGAATGCTTATTCTCGATTACCACATTTCTACTTGAACCAAAAGGATATTTGGGCATATCAATTAATGTTATGAGCATTTTCTAAATTCCATTATTCTAAACACCATCTAATTATAGATGCTCCGCTAGACTAAACCTGGTGCTCATTTCCTTGAGAAAACCCGATGCCCCCCCCAACCAAGAAAAAGGGTCATTAAATATGAGCCTAATTGCAAACCTCTAATTATAGGCTAGCACTTGAAGCTCATTGTTTAGGCCTTTTGTATTGCCTAGACTAGGGAATGAGCTGCCTTGTTGTCAGCATCTAGCTCATCAAAGTGTAGACTTATTTTGCCAAATAAACCAATTAAGAAATGTTTCCAATCCCAAGTTTGATTATTTTTCTCTAGTTATTGATTGGATTGGATCTTGAAACTTATTTATGAACTAAGGCCATGCTTATGACCACACTACTAGTTGTGAATTCTTGTCATTGTTCTCACTACTTCATACTCTGCCCTACCACCATACAGTGTAAACTCTACATAACATCATCATCATTTCCCACTATACATTTCTTTCTTTCCTAGCATCATAACAAATTATTCATCATCTACCAGGTACAATCCTTGTGGACTATCAATATCAGTAAAATAATAAACCTAATATAGTTATGGTCGCTACATTGACCGCTACATAAACACAACACAATGTGTCATACTCTATTTCAAGAAAAGTTACATTACATAGTGGTTTGCTAGTCTGATAACCACGTTGTGAATGAAAACAAAACCAGGTCTCTGCATAATCTGAAGGATGATTGCTTAGATGGGTTTCAAAGGGGTGTTGAGATTTGTGTCATTGTCCACTATATAATGCCTTTGGATGAAATCTCTATAGTTATAAGTATGACCATTGACTCCATTGTTGGACCACTCTCAAAATACCATATTATTTTAATAACAAAGTACCCATATGGGTTTGGCATTATTTGTATGTATATTGTGCTGCTTTTTGTTAAAAATATTACATTATATATTCGTTTACAGGTAAAATAAGAACCATGTTCAAAACCAAAGCAAAACTATTTGCACTTTGAAAAGTGGGTACTACAATCTATATGCCATTTCTTATTCTCCAACATATGACAATTTTGAAGGAAACCAGTACATTCAGGTACCGGACCATCTGTCTATTTTGCTATCAGTATACAAATGATGGCCTTATATGTACAGTTTTATACACATTTTCAGGGATTTTTTCGTTACCTGATGTTGACAAATACAGATGGAGGGCGACTTCGTAAGATGGGCACATGTATTAGGGTTTCATGGGACTAGTGGTCTGTGTGTCACTCTGCCAATTTAAGGTAATTTCGAAGGTGTACGATCACTGTAGCAAAATGGATATGAGTTTTAGTTGCCCTCATTGGACCACTGTCGACGTATGACGTTCTTCTAATGCCGAAATACGCATCATGGGTATGCAATACATTGTTCAAAAAAGTCTTCCACATTATCAACACGTTGACGAGCGCAGTCTGGCCTAGGAGGGTTGACCCGTGTTTCACCGGTTGCCTCTTTCGGCTTGCAGTCTCCCCCATAAAATCAGGGCGAAGACCACGTAAAGAAAGGTGCGATCTTCCAGTTGCATCAAGGGAACTGCAGGTTTATAGAGGTACCAAGAGGGCAGCTAAGAAATGTATGGAGTACAGTGGTCTCTGCTGCTGCTGCTACTGAGGGCGGCTCATCGGAAGGGGAAAGGACCTTCTGGCTCTCAAGGGAGGGGGCTGGACCATCCGACGTACGGGACGAAGAGAGAGAGAGAGAGAGAGAGAGAGAGAGAGAGAGAGAGGGTGCTTAGATGCGATATCCATCGGATCGTAGCTTGGAAGTGGGGCCTCACATCACGTGTTTTCATAGAAGATGACGATGATGATGGATGGATTGCGTGGCCGTCGATTCAGCGCACGTGTGCCTAAAGCCGCAATCATGATTTCGGACAAGTTGACGCAACGGTGTGGCTGAACTGGATTCCTTAAAAGCTCCCCGGAGGGGGGGGGGGCCACATGGGATGTATATGCCCCCATTGGTCAACGATTCACAGGAAATACTAAAAATGGCATGTCAAAAGTTAAACTGTTGGGCTGCAATAAATAATATTATAAAATAGGAAGGTATGATATTTAATTACTACGAGACATAGAATACCCCAAGTGGCGACAAGAAAATCCCTATAATACGAGTCTTTCCCCACGTTTCACCAACGCGGTGGGAAGTCGCCATCATCTTCGCCGGCGGAGCACTCCACGCCGTGAAGACAGACAAGATGCCGCCTGAACTTTCCGTTTCCGGCAACTTTTCTAAAGTGCCTTCCAGAAAATTCTGCACAAATTTATTTATAAAAAATAGTTGGGGAGGCGTTGAGGCGCCCCGGTTGCTAAGTCTGAAGATCCTGTCTGAGATTTTCCATATTTGGGCTTCATCTCTCGGCTAGGCTCGGCCCAGCTCGGAATATTCCGCTTGGAAAGGTCCGGCCCATATGCTCTCTTCTTCTCACTCTTCCTCTCTTTCCTGCAGAGAGAACAGAGATATTTAGACAGGTAGAAAGAGAGAGAGACAGCGACAGAGACAGAGATAGAGGGAAACACAGAGAGAGAGAGAGAGAGAGAGAGGGAGCAGGTAGATACGTTGCCGGTGACGGTGGGTTTACGGCGGAACGTGAGATTTGACATTCAGAATATGAATGCTTGGCTTTCTGCACGTACACCTCGTCCACATTGTGACCTCACGTACAAGGAAATCTACGGGCGCGACCACTACTTGTACTACGGCGTTAAATGGTTTCTGGGTTCCAGAGGGAGCCGTTACACCGACTCTTACTCTCCAATCAGATCTATTCCCAGTTGAGATCAACCGCCCCTCCCCCCCCAATTCCCACCCCACATCCACTTCCACATGCTACGATAAGTTTAAACAATATCCTCGTCCATTCTCTCTCTCTCTCTCTCTCTCTCTCTCTCTCGCTAGAACGTAACTAAGATCCGCGTGATGACTTCAACAAAACATTCAATCACCGATCTTACCTGGTCTTAGGCCAACCAGCCGGAGAAGACCGCGGTCCCCCCGCTCGTATGGCTCCGATAGGGAGCGAGTCGGTAAACCAACCGCACCCCCCCGGGCGGGTGTCCCGATCCGGCCCTAATTGATGGGCCCCAATTATTGGGCCCAACTCGCCAACCACCCGCCGACGATGGAGTAGGCCCGGGGAATAAAGGGACCACTGTCCCCCCCGGTCACGACATCGACCATGAATAGGTAGCTGGGCCCATTAACTCCTCCAGATTGGCCCGATTTTTTAATTGGGCCCGAGGTGTGCGTCACACCCTCCTCCCCCAGCATTTTTCTCTCTTTTTTATTTATTTAATTGAAATTCGTACGGTCCCGAGCCCCGTCAAACGGCCCAGCACGCGGCCTTCGACGGCGACGGTGACGGCCGAGCCTCTTACCGCCGTTCAAAATAATTTTGTCAAACACCCACTAGCCATTATAAAATCTATATCTGCCCTATACCACACCGGGATCGAAGGGCCGAGATCGCTTCCCCCCCACAGCTGACTCGATGGACGGTCCAATCCTGGCCCAAGATCCGCGACCCATGACTGGTCGGCAGATCATTTGGGTACCCGAGACCCGCCCAACAGTCATAGCTTCTTTTTTTTTCCTACCCTTCTCTTTTTCTAAATAATATATCATAATTTTATACCGAACGCCGACCAAGACTAGAATAAATGACGGACGAATAAAATGGTAAATTATATTTATATGATTTTGTACGTCGAAATGTAGTGTAATAACTAAAAAAATATTAATGCCGGGCTTTTCCTCGCCGACCCTCAACCAAGTGAAGTCCACACAAGAGAGAGAGAGAGAGAGAAGGGAGGTTGATGATCCAAGTGTTGTTGATCGTTTCATAGAGAACGGGCTCAATCTGAGCTTTGAGAGCGGAACCCCACTGAATCTGAACCGGGTGGGGGGGTTAACAGAGGGCATTGACCCCGCTAGTTAACATTAATTAAGTAAACCGGAAATAAATGAACGGCGATAAGAATAATAATGTAAATACAAAATATTTCAAGTGACAAAAGCGGTGGTTGTTGTGAATGAATAGAAGACGACGAGTCCTTGATATAATATTAATGTCGATTCACCACGTGGTTGCGCTGTTGGCCACATGGGGTCCTTTCACGTTGATATATGTATATATAGATTACTACACAGAGAGAGAGAGAAAGAGAGAGAGAGAGAGAGAGAGAGAATAAGAAGGAGAGAGGAGGGAGGGAGAGAGATCTGTGGGAGAAGTGATTAGTCCCAGTCGCGGAGGGAGTGGAGAATGGAGAAGGTGGAGGAAGCTGGGGACATGAAGAAGGCGGAGGAGACGGCGGCGGTGGCGGGGGGGACTCGGCACCCAGTTTACAGAGGAGTGAGGAAGCGGCGGTGGGGGAGGTGGGTGACGGAAATCAGGGAACCCAAGAAGAAGTCGAGGATTTGGCTCGGCTCCTTCCCCACGCCGGAGATGGCGGCGAGAGCCTACGACGTGGCGGTGCTCTGCTTGAAGGGAAGGAAGGCCCTCCTCAACTTCCCCCACCTCGTCGATGTCCTCCCCCGGCCGTCCTCCGCCGTACCGAGGGACATACAGGCGGCGGCGGCAGCGGCGGCAGCGATGGCCTTGCCGAGGGACATACAGCCGGCGGAACTGGATCGCCTGGGGATTCCCCATTTTCCCTACCACTCCTCGCCTTCCTCTTCTTCTTCTTCTTCTTCTTCTTCTTCTTCCTCCGAGGAGCAGAAGCCAGCCGGAAGGAGAGGAGGAATGGGGAAGGAGGAAGAGGAGGAAGGGAAAGACTTCTGGGTTGAGATCGG